ACTAAAAAGTCAAACATTGACTTTTTGGTCAAAATCAAGTACCAAGAGTCATAATTCATCAAGATATGTCAAAATATGAAACTTGTTCACCAAGAAAACCAAATTTGAAAATTAGGGTTTGAATTTGAAAATTTTCATAACTTAGAATTTTTCTAAGTATAAAAATTTTCTTATTTTTTCTCAACTTTTCACCACTTTTTCACCATGATGCATTTTGATTCAAGAAAAGTCTTCAACATGAAAGTTGTTTTCCTTCATGAATTCTACAACTTTTCTTCACAAACTTTTCCATAAAGATGCTTGGATCTCAAGTTATGAATTTGTGAATACATGCTCATGAACTAAATAACTTAGTGAAATTTTGCCCTAATTTAGGCAGGTTTTGGACCCAAATTCATGGCAACTTTTCACCTAGTTCCAAGAGGTATCTCAAAATGCATTTCAAATATGGTTTATATAGCATATTGCAAGCTTTCCAAAATGTCCAAGAACTCTCTAAGATCATTTTTGAGTAGGGAGAATCGAAGAGAGGAAGTTGGCATTTTCTCACTTTTTGTTCAAGCCATTTTCACATAGAACCAAGTTGCAAACCAAACCTATGGTGGATATGTCATGATTTACAGGTCCAAACTGGATACACACTCCTTAATTAAATGCATACTCAGTTGACAAAGCCTTTATCCTTGCTTTTGAAACTTTACACAAGTTGTAATTCCATTTTGGGAAAAAAGGCTTCATTGCCATTTTCATAAAGATGCACTTTTGCAATTTTGTCAACTTGGAGCATTGGACATGTCCCCTTGATACAAGCAAACTATACAGGTCTCAAGAAATTGGTACAAACTTATATCAACCCTAAAGCAAGCTGGTACAAGCATGTGGGTTTGGTCTTGTCAACTTTGCTTCAAGTACAAGAAAAGTTGCAAAAGGGATAAGGCTTGCATAACTAGTAGGAAGCTGACTTTGGATCACTTCTATACTAATATGCAAACATTGTACAAAACATTACACGCTTGGCTTGAACCTAGAACTCTCTCAAACTGAAAAACACCAAAAATCTGCCTAAGCATACAGTTTCTACAAAAGCTCAGCCAACTCTCATTTGGCTCGTGCGTTTTGTGTTTAACTGATTCAAACATCTTATACACTTGATACCTAGTCAATCCAAGCCATCACCCTGGTTATGTAACCTCTGTTTCATCATCTTCCATTTTCAACTTGGAAGCTTGCAGTTGGACTTAGTCAGGGAGTTCCAGCTATCCTCAGAGCAAGATAAGGGTTTGAATAGATTCAGGGAAGCTCAAGGAAGATCAAGCAATCATCATGCTTCTATTAAAGTCCCTACATGGCCATACACGATTCCAGCTGAAGGAGGTATATTCTTAAACTCTATCTCTTTATACAGGCAACCTCAAGCCACGATTTGTGAAGAAAAAATGTAGTTCTCATCATAACGAAGTTGTAGATATCATTACATTGCATTTATCACTACAAGAAAATTAGTGTTTAACGACACAAAAATTGCGACAGTTATGTGATAACTGTCGTAATTGACATATAGAGACAGTGTTTACGACAGTTGACACCAACCGTCCCTAATATTTATTTTGCGACGGTATATTTAACCATCATAATATTATTATTACGACGGTAAAACAACCGTCGGCCTCCATTTAACACTTTTAACATTGATTTTTCACCAACAACTAGTCACGACGGTAAAATTAACCGTCCTAAAAGGCATATCACGACGGTAAAGCACCCGTCGCACCCTTAAACCTTTCACGACGGTAAAATTATCCGTCCTAAAATTTATTTCACGACGGTAAAACAACCGTCGCACCCAAAACCTTTAAAAATTCTTTTTATGATTTTTTAGGTTTTCTAATTTGTTGTTTTAGGGTTTGATTTGATTATTAGATTAAATATGCAATAAAATGTGAAAGGCTAACCTCTTAGCATTACTTCCTCTCTCTATGATTCCTCTTTCTTTCTTCTACATTTCTCAAAACTGGAACTAAAAAACTCCAATTTCCTCTTCAGTTCATGACAATCCCGCAACAACAAAAAAAGACAGAACACATGAGGTTTACCAACACGATTCCAACTTGTGTCGATGGATAATTTGGCCGGCGGCTTTGGTGTGTGTGACGATCGGAGTTTATGGCCGAAGCAATAGCGGCGGCCGGTGGTAGTTGAGAGGATGATGGCGGATTGTTGAGCAGCAGAGGGACCTCACATCGGCTGTGTATGCTATGTGGAGAGAGACAGTGTGCGTTGTGGTTGTGTGGGTCATACGGAGGTGGCTGATGCAGAGAGGGTCTCTATGTTTGCGGAGATGTGGCTATGACCCAACAAGGGCACCATTGTGGTTGGTGACAGTGACCAGTTATGCACGGTGGCTGGTCGGTGGTGACATTATGTATGGCGTGGATTCGAATCTGTATGTGTCGGTCTCGAGGTATCATTCTGGCGAACAAGCTTTTGGTTTCTACTTCAATATCCTTTCTTTTGCATATAGAAACTTGGATTATATTTATGTGTTATGATATTGTATTATGGTTTTTGACAGGTTGTATGAATTAATGGTGATTTGTTTTGACAAGTTTGGCTTATGGTGAAAATAGAGTTTATGTTTGGTTTTATGGGCTGTTATTGTTGTGATTTGTTATGATAAAAAATGGTGGATGATAGGTAGAATGATTTTATCAAATCCCACTTGATTTATCAGAAATAAAGAATGACTTATTGTTGGATTTTTGTTAAATTGTATGTTGAATAAATTGTGTAATCGATAGATATTTGTAGTGATATAAATGTGAAAGGGATGTGTATACTATGTACAAGATTTAGTGTGAGAGTGTTAGTTGTAGTGTAAAAAGTGGAAAATTGTTAAGAAATTGGTGAATGAGAATAGGTGTATGTGATTGATGGTTGGGACACTAGAAGCAAAACGTGAATTAAAAAAATAGTGTGGAGGATATGTGAACAATGTCAATTGTGTTAACAAATAATATAATGAGTTGATTTAAAGAAAGCTCCATCAGAGAGCGCCATCAGAGAATTGGTATTACAGGATACTGCTGCTTATGACAGGTCAGTTGGAAAATGCAACAGTTGATGTTGATGCATTGTCTGTATGGTAAGTTATTAGTGAGTAACAAGTATTTGAGATTTACAAGTTTTATATTTATTAGTTATTACAGTATTGGAATTGGTTTTGCAGTATGACTATCAATGAATTGGAATTGATTCCATTTGCCTTCTTTGCCTTCTGGTGCTCATGCTATTGCTGGTTCTTTAGAGAAACTTGTTGGTGGTCTTGATGGTTCGATGAGTCAGCGAGATGCTAGTTTAGAGTCCATAGCTACAATTCTTAAAAATAATCCAGGTGCTGTCTCGAAGTTTGTGGAGCTTCAAAATGGAAGAGCGCTGCGTTCTGTAATTGAATTAACCAGGGATCGATTCTCCCGGACAATGTTATCTAATTTATATTTTATTAATGATAATTATATGCTTACCTTTGATTGGTTCAAACATGAACTCTTCTCCCCAACTCTTCATCTCTTTCCCAAAAGTTATACTTCCTGACTAATCGTATTTACAGAGATTTTACCTCATTAGTTCTTAGTTTTGTTAAAGTTAGTAAGTATAACTATTTCAATGTTGTCTTCCAGGTTGCAGCCCTTGGTGCTATTAGCAACATAGTAGTGGACTTTACACCAAATAAGTCAACAATCATACAATGTGGAGGCATTAAAGAGCTTGTCCATTTGACAAAGTCTATGGATTCATCTTTAAGGTTGAATGCTGTGTGGTCCTTGCGGAACATGATATTTCTTGCGGATAAGATGTGCAAGGAAGCAATTTTTATGGAGTTGACTGCTTCTTCAGTAGCTACCCTTATCTGTGGTAATAATCTTCTGTCATTCCATTTCTGATTAATTGATGCCTGTCAAAAGAAAGTTCTCATTGATCAGAAATAAAAAATTGTTATTTGTTTTGTATACTTTGCAGATCCTGAGCCTTCTGTTCAAGAGCAAGCTTTGGCCCTTGTTCGCAATTTTGTTGATGGATGTATGGATTGTGTGGAATTTGCTTTTGCTGAAAATGGTATCATACTGGATGCTGTTGGAAGGCAATTGAAAAAATCCCCAAGAATTGAAATCATTATACAGGTGGAAACAATTTCTGAAACTGATCAGACATTACAATAGGCATTGATATCCAAATTTGGAGAATGAATTATTCATTAAATTTTCCCAGTTTGCTTACCGATCCTTTTGTTTTAATGATACATCTATCGAGCCATTATGGGTATAAAATTTCCGATGCTTATGGTATAATACAAATTAAAACTATTGTTGTAGTCGTTTAATTAAAACTGCCTCATACCTACAAGTATTCTAATAAATCTCAAAAGCAGGTATTAAAAGTAAACCGATTTTCCCCCAGCAGGTATTTGAAAACGAAAACAGCCATCAGATTGAAAATTTATTCTTCATGCTGATTTTTTTTCCTGTTTAGGGGATGTACGCAGTCAGCAATATTGCAAGTGGAAACGAGTTTCATAAAGAAGCCATAATGCAGATGATCTTTCCACAAGCAGAAAGTGGACCTCAGTCATTCTTGAGTCAGTATTTGCAGAGTAATGACAGCCGTCTACGCACATCTGCTGCTTGGATCATAGTAAATCTCACTGCTCCTGCAAGCCCCGGTGCATTTGGCCGGATTGCAAAACTGCGCAATTTTGGCCTTGTTGCTCAAATCAAGAGGATGGCCAGTGACCCTTGCATGGATGTTAAGGTCCTTTAATCTTTATATCAAGTTGTTGTCTTTTTAATACTTTCTCTTGGTCAATTTGTAAATTTTCTTTTGTTGATGCAGCTTCGAGCACGAGTTGCACTTGGGCAGATTATTTCTTTTGGTGATAGTTAAATCAATCAGTTCCTCCTTTTAGAGCACCTTATAAGTTGCTCCTTCTGCTTCCAGCTTCCAAAATGGTATGCTTCAGTGGTTTACTTCAACAACTTTGTCTCTCCTAGAAGTTCCTTTCTAGATATTATTTTAATAGGTTATGTTTATAAGTGGGGTAATTTTCATCTTAAGCTGGTTTTGTAAGATTGAGTTACACCAAACCTAAATTCTAAGATATGCAATTGAGAAATGGAATTAAATCTGATAAAGCTGGTTGTCGTTCTCTATGAAGCACAAATACGGATACCTGACATGATATCGATACTGACATGTTGACACTAGTGATAATTAAAAAACATAAATAAATTGAACGTAATCACATGCGTGAGTGTCGGACCCAGACACACATTTGCTCACAAGTGTCGGTGCTACAATGATCGTTCTATGTATGGGATAAATATTGATTTTTCTTTCTCTTGCTCTGCTTTGTTCTAGTGTGTTGTTTCACTTGAAGGTTTTGTAACATGTTCTATTCTATTCTAATGTGTCCAATTCGTTAATGCTTTTTAAATGCTTCCATTTGCAGGTGCATCAATTTGCTTTTATTTTTTTCAACCAGTCAGAGCAGTGTAAATCTTTTCAATTTTGTAAGCACTCCTGACCCGGTTACCATTCCCTCCCCCAAAGTCTATTATTTCTTGTGAGTTGGAAGCTCAAAGTAGATTTACAGGCTATACAGTATTTGTACCATGTGAGTAGTCAGTGTCGATTTTAGAACTTAGTTTCAACTTCATTGCGGTTCTGATGCAGTGACAAATAGTGGAGTTTTATGGGTAAGCAAAGTGCTGAGGGGTAGTGTTTGAAGGTGTTTCTAGTATCCGTGCATACCTTGTAACTTGTAAACTAGTTTTGTGGTTCATAAATTGCTTGTTCTCTTTTCGGAGAAAACAGATGACTCAATTTTGTTTGAACCTAAATAATGCTTTGTTATTTACAGCTAAATGATGCCTTCTAAATGGGTCCCGGTGCATTTTCTGGTCATGAATATATATGACTGACATGACATGAGGCTCTAAACTATTTAAGCTATTCTTTGTGCTGAGCTTCTAATTCATCACAAAAAGTTAGGGGCAATTCACGCAGTTGAAGGCTCTAGGGAATAGCAAGCGCTAAACCTAGAATAGAAAAACAAAGTTAGAAGTACAAAATTACAAAATCTGTCAAATAAGCTGGAATCTACTGTTGAATGCTTCCAACTTTGAGATTATTGCTGAAATTATTGTGGTTTGTGGGGTTGGAAAGCATAGAAGTGAAAAAGGGGAATCATCAATTAAAGCATTGGGTCAGAAGATGTTGATGGAGATGAAAAGTCCACTCAGGATTGATAAAAGGAAGATGGATGCTTTGTTGGTAAAGGTAAAGCTGTTAAAATCTGGTTATGTGAATTGAGGAAGCCATGATTTTGCTTCTATATATGATGTTATGTGCTTTCGCAGACAACAGGAAGCCGAGGAAATTCAGGGCCTGTTTGTGGTTCTAAAATAAATGAGTTACCTAACAACCATTCATCAAACACACTGTCTAGGAGTGAAGTTATTGCTTCCAAATGGTAGTCAAGGAAGGATCATGGTCCTAGCATGGAAGTTTAACACAAAATCACTTAACACTAAGGACTTTCATGAATTTTGTAGAATATTGTAACATTTTTTGTAATTCTCTCAAGTTGTAGCAAACCAATGTAAATATTAAAATGAAATTTGGCCTTTGATGATATTTGAATTTTTCTTGTTTATTGGTAAAATTTGCACTTCTTTTTACCTTTGATCACATTTTTTTTGATATTATTGATGATTATTTGATATTAAATGTTTTTATTGTAATTAACTTTATTATGTTGAAAAGTGATAGAAAATAAAATAAAAATACTATAAATAAAAAAATATTAAAGTAAATAATAATTTAAATATAATAGTAAAATAATATTATATTTAAAATTATTTTACTAAATAATAATTTAAATAAAAATATTATTTGAAATTTATAAATCAGATTACGACGGTTAAAACCGCCGCAATTTCTAACCTACGGCGGTAGAATAACCGTCGCAAACAACAACAAAAACAAAAAATAAAGTCAAATTCACGACGGTATATAACCGTCGCTATCTGTTGTGCGTGACAGTTTTTGCAACCGTCGCGAAATAGGCTGGGGACGCACGATTCTGCGACGGTACTTCTACCGTCGTAGATTGTAAATTGCGACGGTTTTAACCGTCGTAATCAGCCAAAATAACCGTCCCAATCTATCATTTTTCTTGTAGTGTATATTACTTGTGCTAAGAGAATTTGAAGCTTAAAATCTCTGAACTTTTTAGGTCACGATTTAGGGATTCCAAAACTCTCTTTGATCTTTGATAGTTAGGTTACATAATTTATATGGTTGGAATCGTGAGCTCAAATGCCACATTTTTCATGTTATGAGTTTTCATTTTTATGCAAGCGTGAGGAAGATACAGATTAAGCTGGCTATGGCGTGAAGAAGAGAACGAAGGACAGGGATGAAGTGGTTCTGGGCTTTTTGTTGCTTGGGCCTTTTTTGTTTTTACTAAACACCACCCTTGACTTGCTATTGCACCCCCTGATTTACTATTTTATATTTTTATGTTTTTTTATATTTTCATATTTAAATAAATTTATTTATTTTTCTTAATGATAAAAAATCCTAAAAAATGATTTATGTATTTTCACACTTTTATTTTATTTTTTTATTATTTCTCACATAAAAAATTAATTTATTTTGATAGAATAGAATTTATTTTCTTAATAAACTCATAATAAATTAAATATACTACATGTTTTTTTATTTTATATTTTTATACTTACAAATACCAATATTTGCACATATTTAATTTTTAATATTCATATACAATATTATTTATTATTTTTTTATACAAAAAATACACAAAATAATAACATAGAACATTATTTTCTTTTGAATAAAAACTAGGGTTTAATCCCCTTCCAAAATTAAATATTATTTTTTTTCCTTTTTTTTTAGGTTTAAATTAAATATTTTTCTTACACCAAAACAAGACATAAAACATTTTTTCTAACATGAACATTGCATTACATTTTAAATATTTGTATTATAATTATTTAATTCGCGCAAATTCGATCTGGTTGTAATAATATATTTAGCTTTATATTTGTGCAAATCCCCATTCAAACTTGTATTCCCCCCTCCCGTAAAAATTGTTGTAATAGCTTAGTATATTTACATTACGCAATTTATCGCTTTATATACCATGATTAGTAATTAGGGTTTGCATGAAAAAACAAAACAAAGCAAAATAGAAAACCCTAAATACAAGACAAAATCAAAAGCATGAAAATGATACACTTTGCACACAAACACCCTTAGGGTTTCTCCCACTTGGTTGCTTAAAATAAAATGGCCATGTTACGCATGCGAAGTATCTTGGCAAAACAAAACAAGTATAAGATCATAGTCCCTCGATGACGCTATTCAAAAATTGCCTTACAAAATGATCTTGGTCCCTCAAAAATGCTAAGATACTTGGCAACATTGCTATCATGGTTATACGATGACCCACGCCCGTACCGTTTACATCCAAAGATAGGGTTGCTTACCAAAATCAATGGTAAGTCAATAATGTCAAAGGAATAGAAAATGCACAAGAAAGACATTTGAGTAGGTAGATAGCTTCTAGTTACTTGCTCAATTTCAAACAAAGTCCTTGCTATTTTCAAAACAAACACATACACATTTTAAAAACATCTTACAAAACATTGAAAACATTTTCAAAAGACAAACATCTTTGTATACATTCTTACGAACGAGAATCATTACAAAGATGGCCTAAACGAATGGCCTCTTTTTCAAAATGCTTTCCAAACCACATCAAACACCATTTCAAACAAACCAAAGCAAGTGATCTAAGAAAGTAACTAAGAGCCCATGGAAAACCATGGATGAAAAGGGTGCTAGCACCTTCCCTTTTCATAATCTACCCCCCGAACTCAAGAAAACATCTCAAAGGTCTTTCCTGTGATTTTTTCACCTTTCCTTTTGGATAAAATAAAAGTCGGTGGCGACTCTTGCTAAACCGCGACATTTGCGATAAAACGCAAAACTTTCAAGTCAGTCCTCCCACCGTATCACAGAACTGGCGACTCTGCTGGGGACAATTATAAAAGTGGGGTTACCTTAGGGTTTAGATCACATTTATTTGCTTGCAATTGTTTGACTTGTTTGCTTTACATTATGGTTCTTTGTTTGGGTTTGAATCCTCCACCAGGATTTGGGAAACATTATAGGTAAATAGCAATACGTTGTGGAAACTGTGCGGGGTATAACGATATGGTCTAAGCAATAGCTATGTTAGTGTGACATATATGTGGGTACCGGTTGCCTTTGAGTCAATCAAAGAGAATACGGGGCCGCTGAGTGATGTCATGAAGCACTAATGAACTTCTAGAACCCTTTACTTGACCAACTTGGCCTTTAGGATGTAGTGAGATGACCGACTTTGGTGCAGTCTGAAGTTGGTAGATACTCGATACTACACTTATTGAGGGTTGGTTTCTTGGGATATTTCGGTCGCCATTAAAGAGGTTTGAGCTGCAACAATGACCAAGGAAACAATCTGGTGATATTGAGCTCCTTAGAACCCGATTACTATTGCTAGGACAGGTTGAGCCAACTAAACTTCAAGAGGGTACTTACCTATAAAACCCCATGCAAGCCTAAACTAAGAACTTGCTTGATTTGCTTGTACATATATACTTGTACATATATACTTGTACATATATACTTGTACATAAACATCATGGACATCATGAACATCATATGCATCCACTAACCATTTCAAGGATTTTGGAGATTCATCTTTGTTCTTGTTTTGTAGGTTATGGATTCACTTCGCAGGAAAACTATCCAAATCAACCTTGTAAGAATTCCTCCACAACTCAAGGAGCTAGCTTCAAGGATCCCTGATAACTCTCCATTCACTTAGAGACATGTTCGTCTACTCAACTTGGTCACTTCCAACACAGAGGAGGATATGTTGAAGGTTCTCTTCCAGTTCTTTGACCCTTTGCATCATTGTTTCACATTTCCTGACTATCAACTTGTGCCCACTTTGGAAGAATTCTCTCAACTCTTGAGGATTCCTATTCTCAATCAACTACCCTTCAATGGTACAGAAAGAGTTCCAAAGCCAAAAGAGATTGCTCAAGCCCTGCACTTGCACTCATCTGATGTCATAACTCATTGGGAAACTAGAAGTGGTGTCAAAGGCTTCTTGGCAAAGTTTCTGTTTGATAAGGCCCAAAGTTGTTGGAATTTCCTAGACTTGCAAGATTTTGAAGAGATTGTAGCTCTTATTATCTATGGGATGGTCTTGTTCCATAATTCTGACCAACTCATAGATGTAAGCGCTGTCAAAATCTTCATGTCTTGAAACCCGGTGCCTACATTTCTTGGGGATATCCTGCACTCTTTTCACACTCGTACAATGAGGAAAAGAGGTGTTATTATGTGTTGCACTCCTCTCCTGGCAAGATGGTTTATTTCTCATCTTCCCCGATCAGTCTTAAAGAATGAGCAAGGTTTGAGGTGGTCGCAAAGGTTAATGACGCTCAAACATTCAGATATTCATTGGTGCTCTCGATCCAAAGAGAATGTTATCATTATTGACCGTTGTGGGGAATTCCCTAATGTCCCTCTACTTGGCATTAGGGGAGGCATCACCTACAACCCGTGCTTAGCTCTAAGACAGTTTGGTTATGCCCGAAGGGATGGCCCACATGATATGCTAATTTAAGGCCTTGTATTCGACTACGAGAATGACGATCAAGGACTTTGCCAGAGATTCATCTGAGCTTGGAGGATGCTAAACAAGGTGGATAGCAAGACTTTGGGACACAATAATTCCATCCCTCTTGAGCCTTACCTCAAGTGGGTACGAACCCGCACTCAAAGTCTTATGATGCCTTATCCTTCCATTCTCCCAGTGATTATTAAGCCTGTTAAGGAGGGAGAAGTTCCATACACTATCCTACATCCTGACATGCCTACATCACTCGAAGACCTACAAAGGGATTGGATACAGCTTAAAGGAGAGCGCGATACTTTTGAAGCCCAATTCTACGCAAGCGAGAAGAAGGTTTTAGAACTCACTCGGCTACTTCATGAGGAGTGGACTCTGAATACCTACATAGCACCAAAGAGGATGCGCAATGTCTTTTTACCTTAGAATTTTGTATTATTTTGCCCAAGGGGCATTGATGTACTCAAATTCTTACTTATTAATATGACGTGTGTTTCTTTTTTTTTAAACAAATTTGAATTTCTAAATCCTTGAAAGCATTGTATGAATACATATCATTCATCATAAACATAAACAGGTCTTTGCAACAAGTTTCCTCATCTCTCTACTGTTTATTTTAGTAAGATAGATCTCGAACAAATGGTCAAAGATCTTCAAGCTTAGAACACGCAATTTCAACAGTTACTCATAACCTTAGCCAATGGGCAAGAGGAGCTGAAGACTTTGCTAGAAAAAGAGAAAGAGAAAAAGAAGAAGAAGCCA